GCACGTAGGGCAAGTCAACATGGAAGGGGTCGGTGACTGAATTTTGATGCTGTTACATGATTGTGCAAAATATAGCTGTCAATCTTCCATTTAGTTTCATTGTTTTAATTATTTAGTACAAGGGGACCCAAAAGCAAATATATGGCTAGAAAAGAAATTAAAGACAAGACCTCTAAAATCATTCCTGTTCCTTGATACAGCTCAAAATAATATAACAATGAGTGAGGAAGGAAAAAGAGTGTAATTATTTGGGCATGTTTTCCTCTGTCTCATATTACCTCTGAATCCTGACAGGCAGCCAGTGACCTGGTTTGCAATTATTTGTGCCTGAGTAGATGGAGGCCAAGAGTGCCCACAGCAGCCTGGGGAGATGCATGCGGTGGGATTCCCTCTTCTAAGGGCCCTGCTCTGTGCTTCTGACAGCCCAGGTGCAGGGCCTCGGCAGCATACAGGGCTGCCTCTGAACTGTGGCTTCTGGCTGGATCATGTTTGAATGTGTTATGACACCCAGGATGATAAACTTTGCCCATCCTAAACACTAGCTTGACAAATGATTAAATCTGGTAAGGGACACACGTGGAGCTTCATACTGAAAGAAATTTATTATAGAATTGGAAAGAGACTGTGCATTTAAAATTTCTAAATTTAGTAGATTAATCTGTGACAAGATCTAAGGGATTTCTATGAAATAAAGTTATTATGGATCATGGCTGTGAATGCAAATACTCATTCATGTTTTGACTCTGCTCTCACCTCAACCCAATTCTAAGCTGAACATGCCCATCAATCCTTGACTTCTCTATTAGAGATGAACCAGAAGTTATCCCTTCCCTTCCTTTCTGCTTACCCACCAAGCATGTGAATCAATTATTTCACAACAGCAAAGCATTCGCTCAGAAAAATGAAATCAAAATGAACTTTTAAGTTCTGTAGTCTCTTTAGTTGTGTATTGGAGTATCAGTGATCTTAAAGTCATATTACTTATAATGTAAGATCTAGAAAGGGAGAATCCATGGGACCTCTAAATTAAAATATTCAGTTGCATTATTGTCATGAGTACACATGTATTTTTGGTGTTATTCTGAAATATTTTTAACATTACCAGGAAGATAAAACCTCTCACAAAATGTTATTTCACCGGTAAAAATACTAAAAATTTTTAATAGTATAAATGCTATCCAAAATAAAAATATTTCTATCTCTGGACATTGACGGAATGAACATTTTTTCCTGTTTTTATACTGAAAATTCATTTAGTGAAAAAAGTTATGTCAAGCTCTTGAATTCTAAAAAAAATATTTTATATTTTCTTTTTACTTATCCACAAATGGTCTACCTGGAATATATTTGGAAGAGTAATAGGTTTTCTGTTCTCCATTCTATAGACTGGTGGGAACAGTAATAACTTTGGTTGCTTAAAATTATTTTTTAACAAATTAAGTAATTCTCACATAGAAAAGTGCAGAAAAATTTATAGCAAACACCTTTTAGCAATTAGAATAAATAGATACTAGGGACCAGCAGATGGCATAATGGTTATATCACTGGACTCCCATGTAGTAAACCACAGTTCGAGTCCCAGACCCGACAGCTTAAAATTTACTGTAAGCGTGTGTGCATGGGTCCCTGAAATCCCGAGAAGAGACTGGAGAAGGGATTGTGGCGAGGCCATCTCTCTGTGGAGGGGACTTCTCACTTTCTGTCTCTCTGTCTTTCTGTCTCTCTGGTGAATGCACATACCCCATAGAAAAACATCTCTCCAAAAAAAAGGGTAAATAGACATTGAGTTTTGCTTTGTTATCTGCAGATTTTCCTTCTTTTTCTCAAACATTACAGACAAAGCTAAAGCAGTAACTTCTGTTTCTTCTTATCTTTCCAAAGTATTAATAGTAACAACTAGTAGAAGATTCTATGGCTATTTATTTTTATAAATTTTACCCTTAGAGATAACATATTCCAAACAATATATAGCATTCTGTTTATATTTTGAGATTTCTCATTATGTTATGTAGAATATATCATTCTGACCATTTTTTTTACATTCAACATTTTATTTTTAAGAATTATTTCTTTTTTAAAGATTTATTCATTTATTTAATTTAATTGTATTATTATTATTATTAAATTTAACCAGAGAGAGATAGAAACAAAAATGGAAAGTGAGAAAGCATGCCACCAGGTCCAGACTCATACAATGGTCAGCCGTGTGGGAGTCCAGTGCCTTAACCGCCACACCACCTGTTGCCTGTGGTTTTTATTTTTTTAAGAGAGAGATTTTTGCTAGAGGGAGCGTGCACTTGCTGGAGAGACACAGAGAGAAAGAGAGACAGCAAGAAATCACCCCCAGAGGGACTGACCACGCTGCAATCCCATCTCCTCCATTCTCTTCACACCCAGCAAGAGGTTTAAGCCGCTGATCCAGGACTCAAAATACGATTGACGGTGTGGGAGTATAGCGACGTAATCATTATGCCATCTGCTAGTTCCTTAAGAAAATATTTCTAAGAAAATATATTTAGAACCATTTCTTTGTAATAATTGTCTACTTTCATTTATGAATAAGCTATTGTTTTTCCACTCTAGTATTGATTAATTATATTCATTATTTTTAAACAGTGCTACAGTTAGTGTTCTCATAAATGCCTCCTTCTTCAAAGATTTAAACTCCTTTAATGTAGTTAGCAGGAATTGGAATTGGTAATTTTTTGTGTATGTTTATTTGCTTAACTGTGAAGGCAAACTAGTTTTGTTTTCCTACGTGGTGACATGAATTAACGTTTGTGTGATTGTTTCTCTCCATCTGGAAAAGTGCTACAACCCTATCTCCACATAAGCTTGTCTCACCTCATATGACAAGCATTTAACTTCCGTTGGTCTGATAGAAATGAAATTTTAAATTTCTGCAATATCTCTAGATGTGTCTGTACTTCAGTGTTTCTTATTGTTTTTATTAGTTTCCAACTGTTCCTATAACAAGTCGCAAATTTGGTGGCTTAAAACAGCACACCTATCTTCTCTTACAACTTGAGGTCACAAGTTCATAGCAGTTTCAAGTGAGCTGAAATAAAGGAGCCAGTTCTGAGTTCCATCTGGTGGCTATCGGAAATAATTCATTTTCTTGCCTTTTCTACCTTTGACAGGCTGTCCTCATTCTGACATCAGGTCACTTTTTTTGTCCTTTCTCTTTGTCCCTCTTATAATGACCCATGCAATTACATTGGGTCCACCTGGATACTCCAGAATAATCTCTTCACTTCAAGATTCTTGAATTTATCACAACTGCAAAGTACCTTTACTCGGGTGCTATTCAGTCGAATTGTGGCCTCCCAAAACTCATACATTGAAGTCCTAATCTTCTTAGAATGTGACCTTATTTGGAAATAAGGCCAGTGCAGGTGTAACTAGTTAAGTTAAAGTGAGATTCTACAATAGGGTGGGCTGCTCCTGGTCCAACATAACTGGAGTCATAAAAATGACTTCATGCAGAGATGGGCTCACACAGCGGGGAGGTGAAGGGGGAGATACAGGGAGGACATGACCTTCAGCCAGCTGGGGAGTCAGCTGAGACTCTCAGAAACCCAAAAGGAGATCCGGAGCAGATCTTCCCTCACCCTCAGAGGGAGATGGCTCTGCTGAATCTTGGTTTCAGACCTCCAGCCACTGGGACCATGGGCAGTACATTTCTGTTCTAAGCCGTCCGATCTTTGGTTTAATATGGCAGCTCTAGAAAACGCATTCACTGTGTCAGGTAACACACTCACGGATGCTGGGTATTAAGACCCGGGCATGGTTGGGAACCATTTATCAATTTACCATTGTTTAACCACATTGTTTTCCATGCTTTCCATTTTCAACATTATCAAATATTTATCTTCTGTTAAGGTTTATAAAAAAATATTCAGCATTAGATTTTTCCCTTCATTGTTTTGTGTTTGTTCCTGTCTCATTAATTTCAGTACTTACCTTTTTTTTTTTTTTTTGAGAGATTTTCACTGTAGGGCACGTGCGCTCGCCAGACAGAGAGAGAGACATAGAGACAGAAAGCGAGAAATCACCCCCCAGGGGGGTTGGTCACGCCGCAATCCCTTCTCCTCCATTCTCCTCTCGGGATCTTGGGCACGCACGCACACACGCCCGGCGTGAGTTTTTTTTTTTTTTTAAGCCACCGGGTCCGGGACACGAACTGCGGTCGACTACGTGGGAGTCCAGCAACATAGCCATTACGCTAACTGCTGGTTCCCAGTACTTACCTTTATTTTTGGTTGAAATATAACTTATAGAGTGAAATAAATGGGTCATAAGTGTAGTTAGAGGAGTTTTGTGCAAACGGCCCACAGATCTAACTACTGTCGTATTTACCCGTCATGGATGAGTTTACCCATTTGAGAAATGCATATAAATGAATCAAACAGTCCATGTACCCTTTTGTGTGTGGCAGTGTTGCTAGGCACTATAAATGTGAGGTTTACTTACGTTGTGCTGTGCACCAGACAGTCCATTTTACAGCTGATTACTATTCCATGGAATGCATATCGCACTATTTACCTATTTATTCTCTTGTTTGCAGACATTTTCTTCAGTATATTGCTATTATGAATATAACTGCTATGAACTTTCTTGTACCCATCTTGAATAAATACCTAGCAGTGGGATTTCCGGTCATATAGTAAGAGTACTTTATACCAAACTGTCAAATGCCTTTCCAATGTCATCAGACCAATTGGCATTTCATCAGCAATGTATCAAAGTCCCAGTTAGTTGCCCACGACTGGTTGAATGCTTGTAAAAAGTCCATACTTTGTGTACTATTAATATTTAAGTATTAGGTATTATTAATGCTTTAAGAATTAGGAAGTCTGTTACAGGTTGGTCATTCATTAGCCATCTAACTTCCTTTTATTCACTGTAATAATCACCTTCACATACTGCCACACTAGCATCTGTACGTTTATTTCACCACCTGCCCGTGCGAATGAGAACTGTTCTATGTCTTCGCCAGCCTACCCACAGCGAGGTCGGCCGGGGCCCTGTCTGCAGGTTTGGGTCAGGCTGCAGGTGTGTGGAGAGCACTGTGCGCTTGCTGCACAGAAGTAGGTGGCTGAGTCTCCGGGCTGGGAAGCAGCGATGTGCAAAGAGAAACGTTTCTCACTTTTATTGAAGAAGGTTGTGAATCTTCCAACTTCATTTTTATTTTCAACTGATCGTATGCCTGCTATTAATTCAAGGCCTTTACCAGGGTATTGCTTGTACCATGGGAAGTAATAAAATGCGCTGTTCTCATAAGAACAGTTCAGAATGGAGATCTCTCCTTCTTGGAGCACCAAAGACTGAGACCCTTGTTTCACCTGCTGCTGGTCACTTTTTTCCCGCTGTTGGCCACTCACCCCTGCTTAGAAAGATACAAAAAGTCATTAGGCTCCCAAATATATATTTCCTTCATAAAATGTCTGCCTGCATGAATTTGTACCATAATTTGCTAATTCCCCCACACAATAAATATCCTGGGGCTTCTCCACAACTTACAGCATAGTAGAAGCCATAAGATTAAAAATGGTGCTCCTAGGGTGGAGTCCATTCCTCCTGGTACCAGAATTCAGGTGGTCTTCCAATCTCACCAAGCTGCTGGAGCTCTGATGCTAAATTCACATGAACACATGCACGTTTGCTCTTTCAGCAGGCCCCGCCCTTTCCTAATTTCTTCTACTTAGAGATATTTCTGTCAAAGGAAGCACTTACCCCATTTTATCTAAATCTAGAACTCTTTAAAATACATTTACTGGGAATCCGAAATCTCCTCCTTACTCATAGCTGAAGATCACTTTAGGTTTTTTTCCCCATGATCCCCCTCTACCTTTTTCTCACACCTCCTAGAGTATTAAAAATTGTGCATTAGGACAGCTGGGTATGTCAACAGAGATAGTTTCACAATGCTAGAAAAGAAGGACTCTCAGAAGCCACAGGATTAACATATATAGGGCCTTTCTTTCTTTCTTTCTTTCTTTCTTTCTCTTTCTTTCTTTCTTTCTTTCTTTCTTTCTTTCTTTCTTTCTTTCTTTCTTCTTTCTTTCTTTCTTTTTTTTAAGTTTACTATAGGGTGCATGCACTCACTGGAGGGAGAGAGAGAAAGTAAGAAAGCATCCTCCCCCCACCCCGTGCGCTCCGGGTAGATGGCCATGTGCCATTTCTTCTTCTCCATTCTTCTCTCAGGATTTTGGGCATGCACATACAGATACCTGGCATATTTTTCAAGCCACAGATCTGAGACACATTGTATTATAGTTGGCGATGTGGGATCCAATCACCCTACCCACCATGTCACTGATTGGCCCACCTTTCATTTTTATTACAAATACTAATAAAGTTTATCAAGGGACACATTGTGCATAATAGTCCCATTACAAATTAAGATCATAAATCAGAACATAGAGAGTTATATGGTCCTTATGTCCTCAGGAAACTTAAATTGCATTACAATTTTTCAGATGACTCTAATAAATGATAGGAAATAATTAAATCAATTTTATGTTTAAGGTATTTGTTCTAAGATACCTATCAAGTAACTATTTTGAAGAATGTACCAGATAAAGAAGTTAAGACTTACTGGAATGATCTGTTCTGAAGGAGCTTTGATCTTCAAGTGGAGAAAGAGAAGATAGAAACATTCTGGAAACTTCTGAAGATGTGAGCCCGTGGCAACCCAGTAATACAGCATTTTTGGTAATTCATATCATGAGTATTTTCTTTTTTTTTTTGAGAGGGTTTTTTTTTTTTTTTTCACTATAGGGTGCGTGCGCTCGCCAGACAGACAGAGAGAGACATAGAGACAGAAAGCGAGAAATCACCCCCCAGGGGGGATGGTCACGCCGCAATCCCTTCTCCTCCATTCTCCTCCCGGGATCTTGGGCATGCACGCACACACCCCCGGCGTGAGTTTTAAGCCACTGGGTCCAGGACACGAACCGCGGTCGACTACGTGGGAGTCCAGTGACATAGCCATTATGCTAACTGCTGGTTCCCCATATCATGAGTTTTAATGTTTATTTAACATTTTCCTCAGATTTAGTCATCACAGATGAAATATGAAAATAGAAAGAATCAATATAGCCTTGTTAACAGCAGCAGGACACAGAGGGGAAAACTGAGGATAAGTTCCAAAGCAGTCCTACAAGTGGAGGTGATCTGTATTAGAAATAATAAAAGTTAAAAGAACATAAAGAGCACATTCTTTTTTTCTGAGGCACAGAGAGAATTTTGTTGTATTTATTTTGGTGTCATCTCAAATTCAATCAAAGTAGACTATCATCACAGTCCAACAGGAGACAGTGGTCCACATCCCTCAGTCTACAATTGTGATTCTTTCTCCTCAGATACCCTTGGGGATTGTTTTTACTGTTTGTTTTAAGTTTCATGTATTATTTAAGTATTCATTTATGTATGTCTTCCACGTGTAGAATATCTGCTAAGCAGGTACTAAATGGGTAGTAAGTGAGTCTCAATCACGAAAGAGACACAGTCCTGACCTTCAGCCAATCTAGCTCCAGTACTCAATAACAGCCAGATAAACCTTACCAAAGACATCTGTGTGTCTAGACAAAGCGACATGAAAAGAGTGATGGGATGACCTCTGCTTCTGGACCCAGTCAGAGAGGGGTGCTGATGAAGGAGAAGCTTAAACTGGGCCTTAAACCATGAGTACATTTCCCAGGAAAAACAATGGGATTAGAGAATGCTAGGCAGTTTTACTCAGTGTGGCTGGAGGGTGGGCAGTGGATGGGCAACAACCTACGTTTATATTAGAGCAATGAACGTAGCTCTGACTTTGAAGAACAGCATGCATCATTCAAAGAAGCGCTGATTTCCAAAGTCAGCCCTAGACTAGAGTAAACACAGATACTATTTAGGTAGGTGGATGGATTTTATATAGATACATAACTGATAGACATAAATTGAAGCAGAGCAGAAGATATTAATGTACTAAGTGTTTAAAGGATAATCTCTGACTTGATGTGACACGAACTTCTATCTTCCCTGAAGCAGCATTGCCCCTTTGTGGCTGTTTAGGGATGTGACACAGAACAATTTCCTACAGCTTCTTCTTTTTAAAAATACATGTGTATTTATCATTATGATTATTTTCAACCTGCAACAGGGCATAAGCTCTCACTAGAGAGAGAAAGAAAGAAAGTGAGAAAGCAAGCCACCAGGTCTAGGACTTGAACCTTGATCAGTCATGTGGGAGTCCAGTGTCCTAAACATCACGCCACCTGATGGCCCCTCCTACGGCTCCTTGAAAGTTTGTGTTCAACGAGGGCTGCATAATTATAGCACTGAAATAAGGGGCTGAGTCTTCCTCTTGAGTCAATGATTTCTTCAAATGGAAGATTTGGCTCTTGTTGAGGGTCAGCTATGGAACCTTGGCTGCTGACTACTGAGGTGTGTCTCCTGTGGAGCTGGAGGAAATGGTTGGGATGGTGGGCACAGCAGGAGGGATCAGGGCTACTGCTATATGAAATGTGCATACCACCTGCCCTGGGGTCTCCTTAGAGGCAAAAAGTGTCCCTCTGGCCAAGTTACTGGCTAAGCTCTCCTTTCCCCAATAATATCAACATCAGATCACTGTACACTGAGAAAAACAAGTCCTTAAATAGATTTGAATTGGATATTTCTTCTGTATTTTTTTCAACACTCAATATACAGGCACATCTCAGAGATATTGCAGATTTAATTCCATACCATCACAATAAATATTGCAATACAGTGAAACACACAAATTTTTTGGGTCACCAGTGCATATACAAGTTATGTTTATGCTATATTGTAGTCTTTAGTGTGTAATAGCACTATGTCTAAATAAACCATGTCCATTTATTGATTAAAATACTTTATTGCTAAAAAATGCTAATGCTAATTTGAGCCTTCAGAAAACTAATCTTTTAGTCAGTGGAGGGTCTTTTCTCAATGGTCATGGCTGCTAACTGATTAGGGTGGTGGTCGCTCAACGGTGGGATGGGTGTCTCAATGTCTTAAGACAGCAGTGAGCTTTACTGCAACTAACTCTTCTTTTCACAAAAAATTTCTCTGTAGTATGTGATGCTACTTCATAGTATTTTACCTGCAGTAGCACTTTTTTCAAAATTATTTTTAATTGGGAACCAGCAGTTAGCGTAATGGCTATGTTGCTGGACTCCCATGTAGTCGACCGCGGTTTGCGTCCTGGACCCGGTGGCTTAAAACTCACGCCGGGCGCATGTGCATGCGTGCCCAAGATCCTGAGAGGAGAGTGGAGGAGAAGGGATTGCGGCGTGACCATCCTCCCTGGGGGGTGATTTCTCGCTTTCTGTCTGTCTCTGTCTGTCTGGTGTGCGCACACGCCCTATAGCGAAAACCTCTCAAAAAAAATTGTTGTTCATTCTCTCAAGTTCTGCTGCTACTTTGTCAGCTAACTTTATGTAAGATTCTAAATCTTTTGTTGTTATTTCAACAATGTTTGCAGCGTTTTCATGCAGAGATAGATTCCATCTCAGATAATTTTTTTTCAGTGAATTTTTTTTTTTCCCTTTGCACTAGAAGGATGAGAGACACATATTTGCTATCACCTTACTGGGACACATTGTGTGAGGTAGACCTAGATGTGTTTGAGAAACCCAACTACACTCAATAATTGTCGTTAACATCTTCACTAGAAAAAAAATTTATTTTGCTCCTTTTCCTTTTGACCCCTTTGGAGTCTAGCATGGTAGCCAAATATTTACTTTTATTCTGGCCTTCCAGCAACTCTCCTAGATCTAAGTGATCTAAGTAAGAACTTTATAGAATAGGACAAGATTGAGAAGGGAAGAGAATGGCCCAAGTCCCAAACTCATGGAGTCCAAAAGTACCTGCGCTTAAATCTCTACCGAAGCAGGAAAAAATGCTAAGCTGTGCACGTGCTGCCGAGGGCCTGTGTGGCGCTGTGGCTGAGGGAAGGGCGGAGCCCGGGAGGTTCCTGCACAGGCTGCAGGTGTCCCGGGAGCGCTGTGGCCCCACCGCGCAGTAATACACGGCTGAGTCTGTGGTCTGGGAAGAAGAAACGTGCAGTGAGCTGTGGCGCTCGTTAGCGACTGTCGTGGCATTTAATCTTCCATTCCGCTTTGTCCCCGAAGGAACGTAAAACAGGGTGATGAGGCGTCCTCCGGGATTTTGACGAAACCACTGCAGGTTGTTTATAGAGGTAGAAAAATTGCACCACAGCGTGGAACTGGCTCCCTCCTGGAGACTCAGGGCCGAAGGACTCTGCTCCACCTGTATTCCGCTCACACCTGATCAGAGAGACAGAAAGAATCCAAGCTGATGGTACTAACCCCTAAGAATCTCTAAAAATGCCCTGGCAGATTATCAGAAGGATAGAAAGTCTCAGATTTGTGAGCTCTTTTCCCTCCCTCCCCTCAACAATACTACTTTCAGTTTCCCGGATTGAAACAGTCCCAACTCACAGCAAACCTGGGAGCACAAAAGCCCCAGCAAAATGTCCAGGAGACTCCTCATGATGCTCTGCCTTGGTGCTTGGGAGACTTTTAACCATAAAATGTTTAACTCTCCTCTGGGGTGGTGAACTTCAGGTCAGTCCTGGAACTGCTCCTGTCCCTGCAACCAATCAGCTCCTCCCTACAGACCGGGTGAGGCCCAGGCACTGCGGAGTTCCCCCACTGCACTCCCTGACTGCGAGCCCCACCTGCAGGCCTAACCCTGGCTGAGCGTTGGGTGGGGACAGGTGGAGAGAGAAGGGGGAGAGTCATTATTCTACTGAGTGAGGAACGTTTTCTGATAACCCTGGAGGCAGTGAGGAGTGTGAGAAGTCCTGTGAGAAGAAAAGGGAGGGCCCTCCTCTCACAGAAAATATACTCAGCTATCCTAACAGAGCCTGGAAAGGATGATAGAATATTCACTTTAAACCTAAAAAGCCTACATATATTTTGACAAAAGGATCTCTACTGACCTACATATTAATTTAGGTGAAAGTCATTCCATTGCAAAGTAATAGGAACACACATGTGTATGATACACCTACTGAATTCTGCTATCAGAATGTAGAGGATATAAATATTTAGACTTTCCTGGAATAATCAAGATTTGTGGTAAATATTGTTAAAAGAAATGACCCTAATAAGAATAATTTGTGAGAAAAAAAATAAAGGAATAATTCAGACATCATTTCTATATATTATCCTTCCTGTATTTTATTTTTCTAATCTATCTATAAAAGTTTCCTTTCATCTTACTTAACTCTTCTTCTTTCTAATTGTTATCTTCCTGTTTTCCTTCTAATTTCCCTTCTCATTACATTTCTGCTTCCATATTCTCTCTCTTCTTTTTTCCCCTTAGTTTTCTTTGAAGCTATAGGAAAGGAACAGAAGGATTATTAAAGAAAATACAGTATTAAATGGTTCTGAAAGAAGTTTGAAGTTGTGAAGTAAAGTTTAAGTTTTTAATACACACACACACACACACACACACACATATATATATATACACACACACACACACACACATATACAATCCTTAGCACCAAAAATTTTAATTTTTTTAAATTAAAAACATTTTGTTTCTATCCTTTGCAATTCTCCATATTTCCTTCTTAAAAGTTTATTTTTTCTTTTATGAGAAAGAGACAGACAGACAGGAACCTCAACAAGATCTTCATACCATAATCCCCCAAACCTCAGTCAGCCAAGATTGCAGGCATGTACATGTACCCTGCTTGTGCAAAGAGGCCTCAGGATATGAGCCTGCGACTTTCCCATGAGGAAGCATCAGCATCATGGATCCTTTACTGCTGCACCACCACAGCTGCCCTTTTCATTTTCCTTTTTGCATTATATAATTCTTTTTTTTTTTTTTGAGAGGTTTTTTTTTTCACTATAGGGCGCGTGCGCTCGCCAGACAGACAGAGAGAGACATAGAGACAGAAAGTGAGAAATCACCCTCCAGGGGGGATGGTCACGCCCTTCTCTTCCATTCTCCTCCCGGGATCTTGGGCACGCACGCACACGCGCCCGGCGTGAGTTTTAAGCCACCGGGTCCGGGACGCGAACCGCGGTCGACTACGTGGGAGTCCAGCGACATAGCCATTATGCTAACTGCTGGTTCCCATAATTCTGTTTGATCAAAGAATCTTTTGTAAGAGATACAGATAAAGATAAAAATTACTGTGGTTTTCAATTTTTGCTTTTTAAAATTAAAAACTAAAAATTAAATTTAAAATTAAAATCTATAGTTTCTTATTATCTTTTTTCTTTTTACTTTATATTTTCTTCTATCCTTTTCTCTAATTTTTTTCTTTTTCTTTATCTTTACTCATTGGCTTCTCAGCTCCTTCACAGTAAATGTCTAGACAGGTATAAGTGAATAGGATCTAAACATCTGAATACATGTAGGGTCAGAATATTCCTCTATCCCCACTGATTCTGATGCACAAAGAGTGAGAACGGAATGGAAGAGAGATTGCAGATCACCTCCTCCAGTACACCTCTGAACACTCAGATTGAACTTTAAGAATTAGAAGAAATGCACCATCCATCAGATCACTAGAAATCACTACAGGGTTGCAAGAAATATGGAAAAACAAGAAAATACCTCTCCTCCAAGGAAAA